TGGGCCTCTGTTCCTATGTACCCTATGTGCCTACTGTAATCGGTGACGAAGGTAAATAACTAATGACGTCAGTCAGGTCGTCGTACACGAGCCATGAGCCGAAAACCCGAAAACTAACTGTTTCCCTCAGAAGCAGACGTGAGAGAATAACAATCGATTAATTATGGCTGATTGCTTCTGGAGAGTCATCGTTATAAGTATCGGAACGTTTGAAAAAGGCCTCTCTAAGTTTCTAGTTTTAATCAGTAAAACCTGGAACTAAAACAGGAGTTAATTAGAACTTAGAGAGATCAGAGACTGTTTGCTAGAAATGGCAGCTAATTAAATCGTCTTATTTGTACAATGTATGCAAATAACAGATGTCTTCTCCTGGTGCCAACATTATTCTAGACTTCATTTTCCTTACAAGGTGACACTGTAACAATCGTAAACTAGAATTTTTGTCTTTGATGGTATTGTTGGTTTTGCGTCTTTGGGTGGAAACACCTTCAAGAAAAGCATTCGCAGTAGAGTGATAGTAGATAGTGATAGTAACGAAGGTCAGATAAACCATTCAAAATATGTTTCGGTTTGAACACGACCGGCTAGTGCTTGTAGTTCTGGCTAACCTAATTTGCTGTTGATGCCTTCAGAAAAGTAATCAGTGAAGCTGCGCTAAGGCTGTGAGGCTTATATATTAGCTAAGTGTCTTCCAAACCGCAGACCACGATCTGGATGTCTGAGAATGATAATTTTTCTTCAGGTGACATGTTAACATAATTATCTCGTAAACGAGTCTGATGGAGACTGACAAAGAATAACTCCTGAAAGTAAAAAGGCAAAGCAAACAAAGCTTCCAATCACTATCCACTTTCTCGACATCTTTAAACGCCTCAAGAATGTTAGAACACAGTTGGCTCCACGCTCAATGGAAGAGAAAATGTTTACGACTTTCACATGCTGCCCCGGATCAAACAGGCTTTGAAAGGCGGTATTAAACGTGTCTGAATTTGATGGCCTATTTATTCATGAGCTATTCATGAACTTCAACGACCGTAAACGTTACTTTTTGTCTTTGATGCTATTTTGGTATTTTATCTTTTGGGTGAAAGGCAGTCCCAAAGGAAAGGTTTATTTATACTCACAGTAACGAAAGTAAACCATGAAAAATTATTCAATTTCAACACGGCCTTAAAGTTGCGGTCATGTCTAACCTTTTGAAAGTAAGTCAACTTCTCGGATACATTTCATTAGGGTGCGGGGTTATCAACTGAATCCATTTTGCAGATCCGTACACGGTCCAGTGCTCATGACGAAATACGCCATCCAATTAAGACACATTGAATACCCGTCTTTCAAAGTCCCTTTGATCTGGGTCAGCAGTGATAGTGAAAGTCACAACTTCGAGCGTGAAAGCTGACTGTGTTTTTTATATTCTTCAGGAGTTTTAAGATGTCGAATAAGTTGATAGTAATTGGAAGCTCTGTTTGCTTCTTAGTTTTCCTGTTTAGTGTATGGGTTGTCTTCACCTATCCTGATGTAAAAAATGAGCTTGACGAAATGGGGTCATCTGGAGCGAGTTTATTGTTCTCAAACGAGCCGAAGGTGGTTTGCACTTTATCAGAAATTCCCTTACTTGAAGACGCCCCCTCACTGGAATCTTTTCTGAAGGCTTTAACAACGGAAGGGAACCGAGATCTCACTTTCAGTGGCTTGGCAATAGTTTCAAAACTGGCCAATGCTTGTCAACCACTAGTTGATGTGGGGAAGGCAAGAGTTCAAGTCAACAAAATTGCGCTTATCGCGATAAAGAAAGATTTTGCCACAACATGTTCGTTGTGCGAGCTGGCAGTAAGAGCGCAGCACGCTGGATACTCTATGGTGGTATTGCCTTTCTTTCCATGGATGTTTGAGAGAAACTGTAGTGTAAAAACGGCGGATAAGCTTCTAATTCCTGTTGTTCATGGCGAACGTTGTCAAAATCCGTCGGACGATACATATTCCAAAGAAATTGAAATCATATATTCTATATTTTCAGCTGCAGACTTAACAAATGTTCATGTGAGAGATTCAAAAGCCTCAGATGATCTCAAAACGATGGAAACGTATTTGGAGAAATTATACTTTTGGTTTCTCTTGGGTCCAATTATCACATTGGAATGGCTCCGACGAAAAAGGAAGCTTTGTTGTGCGACAACGGCGTCAGTTGACGAGGAGTCTGGTAACGAAGAAGTAGTTGAGGAGAGTCGAGGAGATTGTATCCAACTCGGGACAAGTGCGGATAATGAAGGTGAATTGCGACCTCTAATCGGCGTTACGAGTAACACTCGAACTGATTATGATTTGAAAATAAGTAATAACATGCGTATTTTAAGAATTATAGTGCGTATAGCGAAGGTCTTTCGAAGAATTATTCGCTACCTCCCAGTTGGTCTTGTTTACTTGCTTCTCACTCTGGCAGCGCTCCCTGTAGGTATATCAAGTGGGGGATTATCTTTTTTTCGATTTGATGAAAATGAAGAAAAGCGCCAAAGTAATTTCTGGGATGTTCTTCTGCCAAACTGGCTAGGGCCACTGATATCGTACATTGTCACTGTATTTTGGCCAGTCGTTCAAATCTCTAGTTTTTTCATGTACAGTAGATTTACTTGTAAGAGAACCTGGACCGTTTCAACCAACCCTTCAAAGTTTATCAGAAGTGATTGGTTTTCATCCAACGTGTACTTGCTCGTTCTTTGCGTGATCACACCGTATTGTTCGTTCAGGTCCAAAAAACAATTACGTGATTATTTAAGCGATGATTGGCAGTTTTTCTACTTTTCAGTGTGCAATGTTTTGTGCACAGTTTCCAATTTTCTTTTTGTTATCATCCTCAACAAACACAAAGTTGTCACAAGGTATGTGTTCTACATCAGTGTGTGTATGATCTGTGCTTATGTTGAAAGTGACATAGTAGCTGTGTTTTATTTCATTCTCAATTCTCAAGGCTCCCTAAACAACTTAAAACTCACTGCTCTTCGCACCGGAGCACTTGGCCTCACTTTGACTCTGAGTTTCAGTTCTTCAATGCACATAATCCGCAAAATTATGAGGCCAAAGGAGTCTGTGTTCGAGGGACTGTCTGAGAAGTGAGTCACGGTTTTTTATTGAATTGGGTAAGAAGAATCTCTTGCCATCCTTCTTCAGTATCTGTTTTCAAATAATCTACGAGACAAGGTTTAACTTGAGCTAGACCAAAAATTCCATAGTAAGTTAATTGGTCTTTCCAGAAAAAAGAACTTTTCCGAAACTGAGTCGTGTCATAGAGCAGTGTTATGTCACTTTTGTACAGCCTCGTCAAGAAAAGAGCATTGAAATTCTTTGAGTAACTGCTAACAGCTGTAAATTAGAACAATGTCGACGTCCGGTTACCAACCAAATAATTAGTATAGGTAATTTTGGTGAAAATATACAAAGGATGTGTAACTTGGTAATATATGGTAGCGCTGTTTAGAATCTTCAACATTTCACTGAAATGTGTAAATGATAATTGAGAAAATTACTCATATATTAACTTATCCAGTAGAGGTATTGTTCTTGTATGTTAGCTTTTGACGAAAACCTTAAACAATGTAATGACAAATCACATTTTTTGTAAGGATTGATGTCATCAAATGATTATATCACAACATGGAAAACCAATAAGTCGGAGGGTCCTTTTGTTCCAACGTTTTCATGAAATAGAAGACATATGCCTCAGGAAGTCTTTAAAAGCTGGTTTGGAACCTTGTTCTTCATCAATAATCAAACATTTTGTCTTAGTAATTTTTTCCTATTAAGTAAAAAACATAGGAATTTTGTGTGTTGGAATCGTTAGAAGTGGTGTTTAGGACAAAAGTGTCTCATTTTTTTTTCTTTTTTGATTTGCTTCAATATATTTCAAATTGTGTGTGTTTTATATGATAGCAATGCTTACCAGCTAAATAATTTGTAGAAGTAATTTTGGTAGAATGTACGTTGGATGTGTAAACTTGGTATTATATGGTATCCTTGTTTAGATTTTTCTTCATTTCACTGTGAATATGAAAACCGTAAGAATTACACATTTATAAAGTTATAGAGGTAGCTTTCATAGAAAATGCTGATAGACCAGTCGCAATATAACAGGAATATTCTATATCAAAACCTATTATTTTTTCTCAGTTTGACTTTGAATTGTTAGCTTTTGACTACAAATCTTAATAATTTAGCGACATGTCATTAATTTTTATGACTGATGTCAAGTAATGATTATATTACAATTGATTGCTTACTGATTAGCCTCTTTTGGTTAAAGAAAAATGTATCTTTGTTAATTTTGACGTAATTAAAAGATGTGTGTTTTTTGTCATAGTACCCCATGAATCTGTTGATGGCTCCACTGTCTGTTCTGATACAATTTATTGCATGCACTCCCACCCTTACTGAGCCTTGTTTGTCTTCAGTTGACGTGAAACATAAAGTGCCAACACATTCAATATTTCAAGTTTCCAGTGTTTGATATAATGACACTTAATTAGTTTACACGAACTATTTTCTGTTGATATAATACCCCAAGAGTAGGCATAATTGCAGCTTTGAGGCCATGTAACTAACAACCTAATAAAAACGTCTGACTAAAACTGATATGTGAGTTAAAAAGGTTGACTGAGAGAGGGTTGAAAAAGTAATTCGAATAGGAGAATTCAGGAGAACAACCTCAAAATGCTATCTGATAACAAGCATCTCCAGAACATCATGCTAATATCTCCCAGTTGAGCCGTTGTGTAGATCATAATAAAATATCGGAAAATTCAATTTTACAATACCGAACCAAGAATCTTAACCCATAAACAAACCAGTTAAAAAATGCAAAAAATTGTCCACATTCAGTTTTTAATTCATATCTCAACAAATATTTACAGGAAAAACATCTACAATATCTCATTTTAAAGTGTATAAAATAAGCCTCTCAGGAAAATAAATTTCATTATTGAAACCCAGGACTTTCCTAAAAATAAAATTTAAAAGACAAAATAAGGAAGACATTGTGTAAAACTTGAGGTTAAAGTCACTTTTCCTCATAGGTATAGGTTACTTAAGATCAATTGATAACAGAAGTAAATCATTAACATGTCAGCAACATTTCCTTAAAATCTGAAAGAAAAAGAATGAATAATTAATTTTTTATGAATTTTTATGTGCACCCATGTCATTCAAAAAAGTAAACAGAAAAAAAAAATTGTTAGGAAATTCGACTTTATAACAGGAGGATGAGTAGGCCCTGATGTGTTACTGAGTGAATGAATTTGCTCTTTAACATCCCTACTAACTAATGAGAGTCCTCTTCGAGAAAACTAGGGCTAAATCATAACTATTCCCAGTGACAAAGATAAAAGCAACAAGGTAAAAAAAGATAATTATTTTTTTAGATATTTTTCATTTTCAATTTTTTTTTGGTATTTCTGAGAAACACAACATCTGAAAACATTGGAATAAACATCAGCAAAATGTTCTATGTATGGGAAATATGGTACACCAAAAATATACCACAGGTATATTTTATTCCTTTCAAAACATTTACTCACCAAAAGGAGCGGCAGAACTCACAGGGGGAATTGGACTGGCAGCAGCAGAAGGAGCAGAGGGGCCAGCAACTACACATTCAAACAAAAATATAATTTTCAGTGAATCAATTATCCTCAACATTTATAGAATAATATCCTAAACAAATTCAGGTTATTCTATGGTATACGCATTCGAAAATTATACTTGCTGTTCTAAATTTTGCAGGTTGGAAATATTTCACTCACCAGGAGCCATGGGTTCCTTGGTGGAAGCGCTAGCCTCCTTAGGCCGCTCGTCATCTCCAACTTCTCCCTCGCAAAAAATATCAAATGTACAATATTTATATTCCATAAAATACTCAAAATTAACCAAACGAACAAGCGATACTGTACTAAATCGCCGACGAGTCAAGCAACCGACGCAACTGAAAAATGCATTTCTCCATGGCAACAAATAGCAGCTGATCGAATTACGCGTCTAATTTCGCTTGTGCAAATAGATTGAATCGCATTGCATCTCATCGCTAAAAACACACTCTTAGCGTAAATTATTGATACAGAGTCGCAAAAATAAATTTGTAATCAAATTTCAAGAAATACGCGAGAAATCAACCACAAAAAGGCAACCTGAGGCGTAAAACTTCGCCTTTCAAGACAACATGTTCGATGGCGATCATTTCGTAATGGCCATTATTGACTTCTCACCTCGATCCCCACTCTCATTTTCCACCTGCCGGTCCAGATCACTTTCTCCTCCACTGTCCATCACATCAGCGGAGTCTTCATCGTCAAATATCTTTTCCAAAGCCATTTCAGCACGCTTAGACGATGAGGCCATCTTCGACGGTGAAATTTTACCACTCAAATAAGTGTTGTGTAGTACACATTTAACTGTCGCCCTCCAAACTCGCTACATGATTTGTTTAACATTCCAACGTCATACACACCAAATTTGGAAAGAATCGGAAGTAACGCAATATTCTACGAGACTAGCGGAAATGATGGGTGGAATTCCACCCATAAGCGCGGGGTTGCCGGGATAGGTAACCTTGTTTTTATCTATACATCAAAAAACAGCCTTTGAATACTCAAAAGATACTTTACAATAATAATTTCAGCTTCAATTCATAAATTCTACCTAATCAGAGTAATGATTGAAATAAAGTGTAACGCATTCTGTTCAGCACAGAAAAACAAGGAGCGGCTTCTTCATTTCGGGAAAAAGCTTTGTGACAATTAGCTGCTTCTGCTTCTCCACGTTAACCACCCTTTCAATATAGTTCGTTTGGAAAACCAGCGGTTTCTAGTCGTAATAAAGGAAGTAAGTTTCTAAAGAAACCGTGGTGCTGCGTCGGTGGAAGGGTATGACAGGGTAATTTATGTTTATCTAATTTAGAGTTGTCGCCCTTCGTCAGAGCGATTGAGCTCGAAACTTCAGCTCTTAAACTCTTTACGGTGGCCAGTTTTCGTTATCAACTCAGTTTGGTTACCTCGGAGGGGAGAATGCCCGACTTTATTGCGACAAGCAGGAGGTCTTCATTTCTATTGGATATCAGGCACTCAAGAGAGTGGTGATTATTACCGCCGAAGGGGGGTGGGTGGGGGGGGTAAATTTACCAGATCCCCACATAAGGTTTTGCAATATTCCTCACTGGCTTTTAAATTGCAGTTCATTTTTCCCTTTGCAAACCTTGTGATCCCCCCCCCTCCCTATAAAAATTCTCCTTCCCTAGGCGATAGGCGAGCTGACAGGTCCCTAAAATAGTACACTTGCTATTCTCAAAAACCTGAGATGGCAGCCGGGACAACAAGCGTTTTATTACAGTACTGTGACTGTTCCCTTATTAAATGGTAACTGCAGTATAGGAAGAACGAAAATACCGGCCATGTGAAGCATACTTGTAGGAGTCCTTATGTGTTATCAGTTGATTCTTTTTTGGCACCGCTTAAGGTCTAAGACTAAAGTTACAATGTTATGTATCCGACACAGACAAACCAGGTGCACCTCTTGAGATCCATTCGACCTCCTCAACTATAGAGCTATGTTCTGAAAAAATAAAACAGGAAATCAATTCTAATAGTTGTATTATGTGAACAAAAGATTCGTTCCTGATCTTCTTTTACCGTCCATAATACAACCGATAGATAACGATCAGAAACCTCCCTTTCCCCTGTTTCTACACAAGTTATGAGAATACATACACAGGACGAAATCACATGTTTCCGTATTTCTGAAACGTTGCGGAAACATGCAACTCCATGTTTCCGTTATGTTTACGTAAAAGTGGTCCGGTTCCGTTGTATACGCAGCAACGGAAACGCGAGAAAACGTCACGAAACCGGTAACGGAAACACAGGTTATCCGTCGTGTTTCCGGAACGGTTTAACATGTTTCTGCCACGTTTCCGTTTACGGATTCTTTCAATTTCGTCCTGTGATAGTACTACGATAACTCGTTTTTAATAACCTTAATTGTCTTCCTTTCACAAAGCATTCGTTAATAAAAGGAAACACTGCTAGTTACACATTCGGATATTCAAAAACAGAGACTCAATATTCCAGCTTACCCTCGATTTGTACAAAGTACTCAGGAAAACCTGGGGGTAACAGACTTTTACGGTTAGGAAAATAGGGAATGGAATACTATAGAGTCCAGCTTTAGGGAGAAGGCATCAGTTGCTAGTTTTAAGCGCAATTTGTACGTGAAATTTTTAAATGAATAGAGAGCTTCTCCTCGACTTCAAATGTGATTTTTGCTTAATTGTCCTAACTGTAAAAACGAGTTTAAGCTGGAATATCTTATCTCTCGATTGTGGATATCCGAATATGTGATTAGAATTCTGTTTATGTAACTAGGGGTCATCTTGATACAGGAAACGTTTTTGTACTTTTTCATTTTTGATAAGATATTTATTTTTAAGTTTTTAACCTTGCGCTGTATATAGCTTTTGAAATTTTATAATACCGATTTCTTAGGTCTTTTTAATAATATTGCAATGACGGCAACGAGTTTATCAGTGTTTTACTACTGTTCAATGTAACCCTCTTAAAATAATGTCTTTACTCACTTTCTTAATTACTTACTTACTTACCGACTACTGCCATTTCTCAATTATTTAGTTAATGAAAATGTATCATTAAACCCTTCAAACCTGACTTCGATTAAAGAAAAATGTGTTCGTGTTTACAGAAGTTGTCTATCTGGTCAGCCATTTTGGCTCCAGCGCATTCGGATATAATGTTCATCCCCTATGTGACTATGTCAGTGTGTGTTACCTCTTACAGTAAGTCTGCCTATGGGACTCAGTGACGCACACTGATGAAGATGCTAGTCCCGATTTTTGTGGCATGAAACGACACAGAGTATTTTAATCCTTTTGTTAGTGACATTAGTTCATAACTAGGTTACCCTAAAATGTTTCATCAGATTTCCCTGACAGTTTTCCGATACTGCGAGATACAGTGGACAAATGGTCAGTGCACTGGACTATGGATGGAGAGGTCTGGGTTCGAGACCTGGCTGGGTCAATGTGATGTGTTAATGAGTCCACTCACCATGCCTCTCTCCCTCCCGGAGTATAAATGGGGACCGGAAAATTGTCAGGGAAGCCTGATGAAATGTTGGTGGGTAACCTTGCGATGGACCAGTACTTCCTCCAGGGGGGGAGAAGTAATACTCGCAGTCGTTCCATGCTACATGGAAACCGGGATAAGCTCCGCCTGGGTGGACCGCTTGGTTAGAGACTTACAGACTTACCATATCCGTTTAAATTTACGGGTGTAATGAGGCGCTACAATTGGTACTAACACATAAATGAAGACTTTACCTATGAGGCCAAAGGCAGCACGTTCTCCACGAAGCGTCCTTTCATATTTCCTTGTGGTAAGTAGCGCGCCACGACGTAAGTCTTGGTGTATCCGCCATCCACTACTTTCGCAAGAGCCGCTCCCACACGAGTGGTGCTTTTCCAAACCACCTGCAAAATTAATTTCAGTGACGCAAAGTTGATTAATTTCAGACAAACTTTTGTAATTTCCTAATTAAAAAAAAAAAGGAAAAAGAGTAAAGGTGTAAATAATTTAATAATAAGCCTCACTGATTTTTATGCATTTAATATTTTAGGAAATGCCAAAGTGTGTAGAGTTTTAAAAGGGAAAACTTTGATTTTGGTTAACCGGTTTTTTTTTTCATATTTAGGCATCAATTTCCCTAGAATTATCTTTAGACATTTAAATTGTGAAATTGTCAACTTGAAGGCCGCAAGTTTTTCATTCTTTAACTGGTTGTCGTCGTCCTTTGTATATAAATTTAATACACACATACATTTGAAGTACATAGATAAAAAGACCACTTTCTTCTTACCAAAAATAGAGAAACTGGAAAATAACATCATTGGATATAACTGATGGCATTATCTGTGATCGTTGTAGAAAAGCAACGTAAACAACCATTTGGACTCACTCAAAACCAACTTCGTGTTTGAATCAGCATGCTATTTGACAACTGAGTACCCACAGCTGAGAAAAAACACAACTTACCGCGGTGAAATGGCCAGTACTAAGACTGAAAACAGGGTTTTGGTAATCATAGTCCTTGATTTCACCGTACCTGTGATTGCAAGATCAACACAGAAGCCTAATTTTCATAGGCAGCTTAAGCGAAAGACGGAGTCCAGAAAGACATAGAGCGAGAAGAAAGAGCACAAGATTTGATGAGGGATTCTACGTTATGGCTAATATTCATTTCTTTGAATGTAAATCGATAAGATAATTTGATTGTAGATAAAAACAACATCCATAATCCGATAATTTCATCTGATGTCATCACCTTTAAAATTTACTAAGAAGAAGCAACATTTTTATCAGTAATATCCGGACTAAAAATAATCTGTTGCAGTTAACCATTCGTCAAAGATATATTCACTACGAAGTCAATATTAACTGACGATAATATTTCGCTATCTTGGCGCGAGGGAGGACTGTAAATAGAGGTCCAATCGAGTGGGGTTCATTAAACGGAAAGTTACTTACCAAGCCTGCACTGCATCATCACATGTCGCCACATATGAGCCCGAAGTCCCAAAATAATAAAGGTTTTCTCCTTCTCCAGTGTTTTCTGCGTGCTCCAGCGTTCCCTTGGAAGCCAGGTGATCAGCCCAGGTTTTAGCATGTTGAGCCAGTGTATCATCCCAGACCAGCATTGGAGTTCCAGGGTGAAGTGCTCGTTTTTCATTGTGGGCTTTCAGGCAGGCATCAGGGTCCACTACATGAGCAAACAAAAACAAAAATGATTCGAATACCATATTGAAAATGATCAAAGACGTCAAAGTCTCTGAAAATGTGCGTGGGAATTATCAACACTAATCAGTAGTGGTTACGCAGAGTTATGCGGACACAAGAGATTAAAAACTTTTTATAATATCGTGGCGGAACAAATTACGAGACTATGTGCTATGGTTACTTTGATACAAGACATTGTTAAATTTACTAGCAAAAGCAATGCTGAAAGCACATTTTCTGTCAGGTTTTCACCTTAAAACTTGAAGTAAATGTCATTGTCTATCGTACACTGGAAAGTGAGGTGAAAATCAAAGTTTTATTTTAACCTATCGTTTTTGTCTCATAATGTTACCATCTTCAATATGGTGTCTGCATCGTGAGATAAGTAACAATCACAACTTTTAAGGCATCAATCAATTTTCTTTTCTATTTCTCTCTCCAATCCTCTTTTGGCTCATTCTCGAGCAAAAGTGTTTAATGAACACGATTAGGACTGATATTTGCTAATTTTCTCTGCTGGGATATTGCGCAGCTCTGTGTTAGTACGTCTGTAAATGAACAGTGTTTTTCTCCGTGTCCGTTTGTCTACCTC